AAGAGAGAGGGAGAGAGGAGAGAGAGAGAGAGAGAGAGAGAGAGAGAGGAGAGAGAGGAGAGAGAGAGAGAGAGAGAGAGAGAGAGAGAGAGAGAGAGAGAGGAGAGAGAGAGAGAGAGAGAGAGAGAGAGAGAGAGAGAGAGCGAGAGAGAGAGAGAGACAGAGAGACAGAGAGACAGAGAGACAGAGAGACAGAGAGACAGAGAGACAGAGAGACAGAGAGACAGAGAGACAAGGAAACAAAGAGACAAAGAGACAGAGAGAAAGGGAGACAGAGAGAAAGGGAGACAGAGACAGAAAGAAAAACTACTGACGTATTTCTTCTAGCAACTGACGTTTTCTTGGCTTGACTTAGTTGCAATATAATTCAGTATTAGATACTAATAGCTAGCGTTCCGATTACAGGAGCTGGTGATTTCGGAGCCGATCCAGTGGCCCCGCGGACAGCCTCCCATCGACGAGCCACCCTGTGGATTCAGAGGGGAGAACTGCATATGTGAGTTACTGGGACCGGTCCACAATCGTATTGCAATGACTGGACTGCAGTCCATGCATGCATATTGCATATTGCATAATGCATATTGCCCAATAGCAATGACGTAATGTACATATATTATCTAAATGCCACTATATCCTTTTATTGATGGGAGATCAATAGTGCTTTTAAAGTGCTTACTAGTGTTTACTGTAGTAATCCCATGGAGCTGCTTTGATTTTAGGGTACGCGGAGAAGACATGTAAATGTAAATGTAAAATGTCTAAAATTGTCCAGCTGTTGTATATATACTCGTATAATAAAGCGCAGCGTTATGCATAGTTCTGAAAAGTATGGAGAATTAAAGCCCCATACGAGTATACCTATGGATTACCGTTTCCAATGCAGTGGAAAATACCTAAACACTTAGGAACACAACACCATTAACCAACAACCAACCAACAACCAAGACTACCGCTATCGACACCACCACCGATCGACAGAGACAGTCCTGCAACCATTGCTCCTCCCAAGGATATATTGAATTAGGCTTCCCCTGTGGCTTGTGCCTTGTAGGTACACTGACTCATGTGCATGTTTCACAGCCTACACGAAGGAGATAGCCTGTGGAATTGTTGGAGGTGTGGTGCTAGTTATCATCATCATTGGACTGGTGTTCTATAGGTAAGTTAATCTTTTTATATTTTTATCATACCGAAATATTTAGCGTGATGTTCCAGCACAACTTAGCCTGCTTTTTCATAAATTTCAAGCAAATTATAAATGATAAAATAGTAGCGAATCGTTCAACTAAGCCGGTAGTGCTACTGCTCTATCCACGATATGCTGGAACTATTTCCCTTATGACTTACTGCTGTAAAATTGTATGTTTTTCTTGAAATATCCTAACGCTTACGGCAGAAGATATTTCATGCTGTAAGACAATAACAGCCCCGCGTAACCGATGGGCCTGTTTTTCACCGACGTGATGACCCGAAACGAAAACAACCGAATTACAGCATGCATTAATTTTGTGCTGACGCTTAGTAAGTTCAGAGAAACAGTTTATTGCTGCTCTGGTTTGCGCTTTGTGGCTTGGATTTATTTTACGTGCGTATCTACGCACGCACTGAGCAGTTGTTTTGCGATGTGCATCATTTGGAATATCGCTGTATTTGAGATAAGCTGGCGTATTTATAAACGACAACGTAGTACCGTAAAACCTATGTATGAAATGTATAAATAAATGGAAATATTTCACCCCTTGCCGAAATAACGTCAAATGGCCTGATCGGTCGAGCACCATGTAGTGAACATACACAATTATGTTATGATCTCTGCATACGATAGATGGTGTTGCTATGAACTCAATATTACGTACACTTACTTACGTTCACTTACATATCTCTGTTTGCTGATGAAAGCTGAAATGACCTGCCTGTTGTTTCAGAAACTGGCAGTACGAACAAGAGCTTGACAGCTTGCTATGGAAAATCGACTACAAAGAGATTCAGATGCATGACGAAAACGAGGAAGTCAGACCCGCTGTCGTTACAGATAGCTTCTCATCCAGGGTGAGTAGATAGTAGAGATGCCACAAATTTGTAATTTCATTACCCGCCCCGCCCCGCAGCTACCCCTTGCCCAACCACAACTACCCGCGAGCTGATTTTGGCTGAGCCGAACCCGCAAAAAACCCGCAATTTTAAAAACCTGTTTTTGCAAGGAAAAATACAGCTGGGTAAATGCTAGAGCTATATAAACCTTACTTGCATCATTGCTGTTCAGAAAAAGACAGCCAAACAAATAGTAAGGACTTGAAATTGCTATGCTAAGTCCTCAGGAAGTGCACACTGGATAGTGGAAAATGAATATTGCATCAATACATTTGAAATTCCTTATTGAAAAGAGTTCAATAAAATCTTTCTCTCACCAAAGACTGGGATTTTGATGATCCTTCAGCATTGGCTGAGGATCAAAATTTCACTATGGCTCCCTCTCAATGTTAGGCTTCTGGAATGATATTGTTATCAAAATGAATGTTGATATGATAAGATATGCGATTTTCAGATAATGATGATGAATATGGTATTGTTAACCTGAGCAAATGCACTTGGCATAGTGTTTTACATCTAAAAAATAAAAAATAAAATTTATAGGTTCTAAGGTCTGACCGCCAAATACCCGCAACACGACAAGTTTTGCTTCTCGAACCCGCCAAAAACCCTGCGGGTTTTGAAAACCCGCAGAAAGCGGGTTCGCGGGTTCAAAAGTGGCATCTCTACTAGATAGGTTTTGTTTGTCTTCCTCAGAGTGGCTGAAACTTGACAAGAATAGGTTAGGCCAACGATTTTCGGAGATCCATAATCGAACCGACGTCCTCGTGCAAACGCCCCGCACACTTGAAAATCAAACACCTCACCGACAACTTTCTTTTACGGTCTAGAGGATAATAACAACAAAAATATATATTGTATATTCATGTTTGTGTTTACGTCTATTTCGGGCCTTTATACGCTATATATAATTAAGAGGTATAGGTTATTTTTTCTAATGTCTTACTAACAAAAAGTTTTGTATATCAAGGGCTGACGCTAAGCTAGTCTTCGTCGAGCTATGAATATGTAGGCACCTTAAACCCATTACAAAATTCCACCTATCTGATTTTGGTCACCGCAAAATAATGAAAGGAAAAACAGTAGAACTCGACACTACATAATGGATAGCGAGTTGGACGCTGCTGCGTGGTCGATGCCTAGCCGCTGAAATTGCCGGCAAAATGCTGGATAAATTGTACAAAAAGCAACAAGAACAGAACAAACGGATGGTTAGCTTGCCGCAATCATTTGTGTTTCGTTGTTGCTACTGGCAACCATGTCGAAGAATCGATGTCAATTGTGTTTATAATGAGTCGTTTCAGTACTTTCGTTTTTCAAAGTGATGTGTAATGTTGGGCTGTGCTGAGTGATGGCATATTTTCAAAAAGTTCAGCTTGTAGTACGCCTTAAACATTGCTGAACTTTTGTTGTTACTCAATCTACACCTTTTTTCCTTCAGTTTGAAAAAGTTGTAGCTCAATTTGAAAAAGATGTAATTCAATTTGAAAAAGGTGAACTTCAATTTGAAAAAGATAAATTTCATTTTGAAATGAAATAAATTCAAGTTGAAAAAGATTAAATTCAATTTGAAATAGATAAAGTTCAATTTGAAAAGAAAACATGTTGAGTACCTAACTTAGTAGGGGACGGTGCCCAAATTGTGCCATGCTTAGCTTAACCCTAGAACGCCTAGGGGGGGGGGTTGTATCAACCCCCCCCCCCCCCTGAGGTTTTTTCGAAGTGCACGCTAAACGGCTTGTCGTAGCGGGCTGAAATTTTCAATACCCTCTGGGGCAACCTTTGCGCATCTTTTGCCGAAAAAATTGATCGGGTCATGTCAGGTCACGGAGTTTTGACGTCATAAGAGGTACAGCCTCCGGCCGGATTTTCACAAACTGAGTGCCAACGCCCGAGGTTTCCTGCCGGTGGTACGGACATCGGTTGATGGATCGTGATGAAACTTCCCATGCATGTTGGGGCAAGTATTGGCTATCATGTGGTATAAGAAATTTGACCGGGTCAGGTCAGGTCACGGAGCTATGACGTCACAAGAGGAACAGCGTCCGGTACTATTTTTGAAAAGCGCCCGAACCACTATTTTGCTAATTCTTGTCACCTCAATGGGAATATGCAGCAATATTAGCTTCTATAGGGAGCAAATGGACCTCCCAAATCCAAAAATACAATCAGATTTCAAAAATTTAAATTTTGATTTTTCGAATTTCTGCCGCCGACTGTGACCTTGCCGACTTCCGGCGCTCCCAACGCGCCATTTTTTGAGCTAGGGAAACGAAATACATACCAAACGATAGAGAATTGATCAAGAAACACGATAGTGAAGGTTTCAAGTCGATATCTCCCACCGTTTTGCCGCAATCGCCGCCGAAAGTTGAAAAAAATCTATTTTTCCGAAAATTTGACCTTTGACCGGTCAAAAGTAGGTCAAATGTTGACCTAGGACCAAAAAATATACCACCAATCGCGAGATCTCGTTGAGAACAATCCGTTGGTTTTTTCCGCTAAGCTCTACGACCTTCCGTTTCGAAACGCCAGGGGGGGGGGGTCGTAACAACCCCCCCCCCCCCTGGTCGTTCGTGTTATGAGAAATGGCCTGGTCGTGCGAGGGTTAATGAACTATTTCTCGTAAAGGGATGGGTGGAGAGCTGGTTAACGTCTTCTAATTCGTAATTTGATAAATTTGCTATGAAAATGCCCTTACCACACTTCTTAAATCAGCCGCGAATTTTATATTGAATTTCTAGTAAACCCTTGCAAAAGGCGCAATTAGGGCACCCCTGCCCTAAAATCGCCAGACATTGCCCCATTTGCGCCACCATCTAAAGATCTCTCTCAAAAGCAGATTTTGAATCTAAGTCACCTCAAAAGTTATTACAGACGATTTCCGCATCCATAAATTAACCCGCGCCCTGCTGGGGGGGGGGGGGGTGTTTGAACACCCCCCCCTTGTGGTTTTTCGCGAATATCTCAAAAACGGCGGCGCTCCCGCCGCCGTTTTTGGTACACCTTATCATACATCAATTCTACACATGTTGTGAAAATTTCAGACCAAGGTCATTCAAGGTCAGGTCACCAGGTCACTTGAAGTGACCTCACCTCATAAAAACTTTCAATGTCTGTCATAGCTACACCGAGTGACCGATCGCTTTGAAACTTTCAGCGATTGCTAAGAGCAATAGCATGTACAAAATGTATATCTCAGAATTTTGATATCGATGACCTAAGGTCAGGTCAATTTTGCGACCTCCCCATTATAAGTCAATGGGAGAAAATTGAAATGCGCCTCTTTTGGACGAAAGACATTATAAACACTCCCAAACACCGAATTACAAGTGGTTTAGACACACTGAACATGAAAATGGTGTCCGTGACCCCTGTTTATGCCCTGAGGTCATCTTAGGTCACGAATGGTATCTAACAGTTTTTCTCAAATAACTTTTGATAGAGGCATGCTAGAGCGATGAAAACGCCTTAGATGTGTTCAGCTCGACGATACGGATCGACTGATATGCAACATGACCCTTTCCGGTCAGGTCATGACCTTGACCTGAGGTCAAATTTTCAAGTTGACCTTTCAAGGTCAAGTTATAGTTCATTCGATGCGTCTTGACGAGAGGAACACGATGCCGGTAAAAGTAAGCTCGTACAAGGCTTGGGTCAAAAGTTATTGCAGAAAAACTGTTTCCGAAAAAAAACGGCTATTTTTGCAGTTTTTGCCCCCTGCAGGCAAAACCGTTGACGTTAGGTCAAATCTGAGAGAATTACTCAGAAAGGGCGTTAATAGGGCTATCGAATGCGCTTTTCCGCGGCGCTGTAGCTCTATTGGTTCCCGAGTTATGCGTTGGCTTCTTGGAAATTTTCGCCATTCGACCTGGAAATCGGCGAAATTTTGCCTTCAATGACCTCTGGTGACCTGACCTTTGACCTGACCAAAAAATTGACCGAAGTGATTTCGTCATTATTTTTGACGCTCTTTCGAACGCCGCCTTCCGCGTATCGCTACGTGGCCCAGGAGCCGAGTTAGAAGGGGGGGTGTTCAAACACCCCCCCCCCCCCCCAGCAGGGCGTGGAAATCCAGGACCCCCAGCCGGGCGCGGGTTAAGCAAGGCGATTTTTTGTTATTTACTTTTGATGACAGCATCACCAGTTCTCTGGACACTTCTACAAGGTGTCCAGAATGGGTCCGCCTAAAGGTGTAGTGTCCATACATCTGGACGCAACTAATCGGCGACAAAAATCACACGTCACAAATCACGGAAACCATTTGCTGAGCATGTCTAATTGTCTATACAGGACTGGTGGCTTCACCCATTACACAGTGCATATTGCAAATGGGCCACTCGACAGGTGGCGCAAATATAGGACAATGGCAGCATTTTAGCGTTACTCTTCATGTCTGGCAAACAAAGGCTTGTTTCAATCCATTTTCATGGCAGCAAATCGGAGAAATAAGCGCTTTTGAAGCGCAAAGTGTGTATTTTTAGTATTTGCTTCAATCCAAGAATGTTCAATAATATTCATGGGTACGAGCACACTAATTATGTAGTGTGTTCTCATCCGAGCCCGATACGTTTCAAAATGAATTATATCTTTTTCTATTTGTATTTTAACTATTTCAAAAAGAATTTCATCTTTTTCAAATTGAAGTTACCTTATTTCAAATTGAAGTACAACTTTTTCAAATTAAACTGCATCTTTTTCCAATTGCGCTTCAACTTTTTCAAACTGAAGGAAAAAAGGTGTAGACACTAAACCCGTGACCAAAGACATTTCTATGTTATCTTCGTTGTAGACCTGAACGAACTCCGCGACGTAGAACAAGAAACTCCGGATTTAACATGCCATTGGAGTATATCTAGATGTCAAGAAAGCATTTGATAGTGTCAATCATGAAGTACTCATTAAAAAGCTTAATAAATATGGTATAAGAGGAAAGCCCTTGGATCTAATTGCAAATTACCTGAAAAATAGAACTCAAAGAGTAAAAATAGGAGAGCATTTATCTTCACCAAGAAGCATAACTTGTGGCATACCCCAAGGTTCTGTTTTAGGCCCTTTGTTATTCATTATTTACTTGAATGACCTAAGCACCATATCAAACCAATTGAATATCATAACCTTTGCAGATGACACTAATATCTTCCTCAGTGACAGCATGTATGACAAACTAGAAGGCAAGATGAATAGGGAGCTACAACTTATCAACACTTGGTTTGAATGCAACAAGCTTAAACTGAATCTTGAAAAAACGTGCTATCAAGTGTATACCAAAAGAAAAGAACAAAATCAACTTAATATAAATATTGAAGGCAATAACATCAGGCACGCTCCATGTGTTAAGTTCTTAGGTGTTTATGTAGACTCACAGCTATCTTTTAAAGAGCATATAAAAAAGCTTTCTACTAAGCTAAGTCAAATTGCAGGTATAATCAGTCGGGCTAGATGGTGCCTAAGTGAGCACCACAGCCTATTACTGTACAACGCCCTTGTCTTGCCTCATATAAGCTATTGCTGCTTGGTATGGGGCATAAACTATGAAACAAACTTAAAAGGCATCTTGACAGTGCAAAAACGCATAGCCAGAATAATTATGGGTTTACCATACAGAGAATCCGTGACACGCCGATTGAAAGAAATTGGTATGCTCACTATTCGAGACATAGTATCGTACAAAGCTACTATTTTTGCATATAAATACTTAAATGGTCTTCAACCAGCAATACTAAGAAAATCGTTCAAATTTAAACCCCCAAGTGTGACCAGAAACAAAGACACATTCCAGGTACCCTCCACCAGAAACAATTATCGAAAACACACTGTAAAATTTTACGTCCCAGAAGTATGGAACAAACTGAGCATACTCTGTGACTTATCAAAATATGACAGAATAGGGATAATCAAAACTAAAGTGAAGAACCATCTACTAAGATGAAAAGCACCAACACCGGTATAAAATGAACATGCAATGCTGTTACTCTCATCGAGTACAAGTCCTGACTACCGGCGCACGGTTAACTAGCTATAAGAACACATATCATAGATTTTAAAGAAAACGAAAAAAAGAAAAGAAAACTCATTTTATTCTTCATCAAATCCATACCGTTTTTAACTAAAATACTACGTTAAGAGATTGGTACATTGACTGATACGTTGCCCCCACCCCACCCACCGGGCTAACCCGAGACCGGCCCAGTTTAACTGCGGGGCCGGTCGGCTGGCCGGCCGGGCGGGGGGCCGGCCCATACGATGGGCTGACCTCCCGCTCGGCTGGCCGGCCGCGGGGCGCCGTCCACGCGTGATGAACGCGGTACGCGGGACGGCGCGGGTGGGGGCGGGCCGCCCGCCTGGAACGCCGGGGAGGTGCCCCACAGATCTCCCCGGCTGGGGAGGCAACGTTGAGTTCCCCCCGGGGCCGGGGCGGACCATTCCTCACGCATTGGTGAATGATACCGCCCTAGCCTGGCCAGGCGGGCCGCAGGAGTGTGAGACTGGGAGAGTGTTGGAATGGAAATGTTTGCTCGCATATAATCACCATATCAGGCCCCATCTCTCCCGATGACTCTCTTGCAACAAGCTCGGCTTAGCTGGAGGGCATCGGGAGGGATGGCAAGACAACATGCATGAATTAGACCAGACCTGATTTACCCCACTAATGTCCCCTTCCAAGTGAGTGTGTGCGTGTTCCTCACTAACAATGTACGATTGAACCCTTAGCGGACAGTTGATGCTAGATTTGGCATTAACTACTATGGCTCTCTGTATCTACTAACCAAGTTAAATAATATCATACGTAGTCAACGCCGCTTCTTTTATGTTTTTTCCTCTTCTTAGCAGGGAGTGCCGCGACTTTTCAACTTTGATTTTTATTTTGGTGTTAACGTAAGGGTTCTGTGCGTCGCTGGGACTGAGGGTGGGGGCACTCCTGGTTGCCTGATCATGGGTAATGGACTATTAGTAGAAAAAAAAACTATCTAACGTGTTGATTATCATGTGGTTCCCAACACCTCCTGTTTTGTGTTTTATCGTTAGATACATCGTATGCGTCAAAGCCCGTCCTTTTGCCAGGTGCTGCTGCGTTCATCTCAGGTCAGTCTGAGCTCCAACTACGAGATGGATTTCCGCTACTCGGCGCTGTATACCCGTGTGGGCGTCTACAAGGGTCGTATGGTTGCTGTGAAGGAGATCAGGAGGAAAACCATCGACATCACCCGCAGGATGAAAAAGGAACTGAAAAAGGTACGTCTTCTGCTGTAGCGGTCATGGTGATTTGAGATGATGCTGATCGTCGGTCTTTGATATCTTTTGATTTTGTTTCGTGTAACATGTAGTTTTTAGGCCGTCTATTGAGTGTACACAGATATGAGACATAGATATTTTTACATGCATCGGTACCGGCAAGTTAGGTCAGCTTAGTAACGAAGGGAGGTCCGCTGTTTGGTCGCGCGCTCTGCTGCTTTTCGCAGCATACATAGGTCATTTTTTATGCATGCAAAAGCTAAGTAAACCAAAATATCCTTTCAGAAAGCTTGCATTCACTGCTCGAGTACGCTTTCATGTTCTAGCCTGAATCCGTCTTCTTCAAATAACGTATATGCAAAATTATCTTTGCCGGCACAATATTATGCGAGCACGGTTAATGAACTGTCTTGCTTTTTGTACTCAGCCACAAAAGCTGCTTGAGTTGTAGAATTTGGGATGCAGGGCTCCATAGTCCATTGACTGATATTTTATGTTCTCCACAGATGCGAGATTTGCGCCACGACAATCTGAACCCGTTTATCGGCGCCTGTGTGGATCCGCCTCATCTGTGTACGGTTTCCGACTACTGCAATCGTGGCAGCCTGAGGGTAAGTGATCAGAAGAACGGCCCGGGATAAAGTGTGAATTGTTGGAGGTTTCTCTCATGTTGTGTAAAATGTTTTGTGATTCATAGGCTAAACTATTGTCGTGTAATTGTACCAATCGCTGTTTCCTTGCTATTGATTTGTAGATCTGTGGATGGCTTGCAAATTGGAAGTTTACTTCGTACTTCTACAGCCGACAGCGTAGGTCTTATGAATATAATCAATTTTTTTTTTACACCGTTCCGTGCTTCTATCCTCAGGATACTGAAATCCTTCTCCTCCACGCCGCAACCCTCCTCCGGGCTGGACAGGCAACTTTATCTCATGCGGGCTGCTCCCTTGGAGCGGCACCGCTGCTCCCGAGGGAGCGCACCCCGTAGCCGGGTGCAGTGAGTGCCTTGGGGCTGGGTGGCCTGTCCTCTGGACGGGCTCAGCCCCGGCGACTCACTAGGGTGCCTGCCCAGACCAATGTCTCCCCCTAATTCCTATCATCCTTCCGGCTCTGCAATGGTCTTGTCGACCGAAAGGGCCTAACCCAACAAAACAAACAAACAAATCAATTTTTTTAACTTAGTCTGCGGCTCGTGTATTTCCAAGCTCCTGTATAATACCCAGTGCTGGAAATGGTAATTAAGCGTAGCAATAATGATCGAAGTATACTAAATAACGTACATGTCACTAAACGGCCAATTGCGTGAAATGGTAGAATGTATGACATATGACCATTTACCGACAAAAATATCCAAAAAGCGCAGAAGCCCATTTCCTTGACTTCTGTGTAATATTGACCTGTCAACATACCCTTCACCATGACAACCTCCTTTCAGGATATACTGGAGAACGCCAACGTCAAGTTGGACAACATGTTCATTGCCTCAATGGTCTTCGACATCATACGGGTACGTGCTGCTGCAAATACTCAACTCCTTGCCATACACCTGCCTTGGTCACGCACTCCGGCCTTTTGAGTGTCGTATTGGTCTTTTGAGCAAGACATCCGGATGAAATCATTTATAGGTTATTTCTTGTAAAGCAGTTCATCAATGCACTGATTGCCTTCGGCTGCAGAAGTTTCTACGCAGCAATGCTCTTAGCAGATGTTTTTATTGATGCAAGTACGCATTCAGTGCCTTTCCGGATGCCTTTGAAACGTTGATATTAGACTTCCGGGTTCAGCGTTGCAGCACATAGAAAAGGCACTGAATGCGCTAGCACTATGTTACCAATGGAAACGTGTGACTTCTCGTTCTTTGAATGGCTTCTTGACCGTCCTGTAAGCCTCGCGTGTTTTTTTTATAGTTAAATCGTCCCTGCTGATTGACGATTTTAATTACATCAGTGGGAAGCTTGTATACATAAATGGTAGACACCTGAGTTTTTAGAGGCGCATGTTGAAGGTTGATGGCAGGTCTATTCATTTGCTGTTTTAGCGAAACACTAAGCTTTGCCAACTTTTATAAATGACCGACATTAATAACGTTCAGAGGATTTGTGTCATTCCAACTTGCTTTTGAATTTGGTCTAGGAAAAGTAAAGCAAGTAGCAGCCGGTGCTTATATTTGAGCTCTTATTCTCGTGTGAAGTTGATCGGCGTATAGATACTGAACCCAAGTGCTCAGCCCTTAGTTTGTCTTCTTTTTTTTCGTATAAATCGTCTGGAGGAGCTGAGAAGGTTCCTTTTTCAAAGGTTACTATGTAATATGCATGGTTAGGCTAGTGATAGACGAAGCAGCCGTAGTAGCAAATGTAAAAGCAGTCGGAACTTTGCCTCAGATTCTCTCGGTTGCTGTCTTTCTCTCTCCCCTCGTAGGCACTCGATTCAGTTACAAACTTTGTGGAGAGTTTTCTCGGCGTTCCTAGCATGGCTTACGTGACATATAGCAAAAAGCCACTTATAGAAGCCGTGTGGCGTGCACCATTTGAAAATGAATATATTTTTATTCTACTTGTAGTTTGGAGAATTCCTAAATCAACATCCTTTTCCGAGGGTTAAGCAAGGTTTTTAGATAAAATGAAGGAAACGGCTTTCAAAACAGATTAAATAAATATAACTATACACATTCGCTGTCGAAGTTATGAAGCGTAATAATGTTCATAGGACTTTCTTCGGCTAAGCTGTTTACCTTAGCAAACAGAATGGAGGCACAAACCGCGTACGAAACTCGGTTAACTCTTTTTGAAAGGTAATGACTACCTCATTTAGTGGCAGGGAAATAGTCCGCTCCAGGACATCGCGAGATTTACTCGATTTTAAACATTGAAACCGTACTCATTCGATATGCATAGCTCGTCTAAATATCATAAAAAATATTTTGAATGTTTGAACGAATGATTGACATTGCCTAAAACCAGTATAACGCCTTTTGGGGCGACTAACGGAGCGAGCGAGAGGGTGGGCCTTGCACGTGCGAAATTGCAAGGGGGTACCTCCAACTGACTTGTGCACGGCACCCTACTAACCGGTCTCTAGCGATGTGCCAGATTTGAGCACAATCGGCCCAGCCGTTCTCGAGATCTGGGAGCGGCACCCTGCACGTGCGCACGTGCAAAATGCGTCCCAACTGACTTGTGCACGGCACACTACTAACTGGTGCCTAACCGTGTACCAAATTTGAGCGCCATCGGTCCAGCCGTTCTCGAGATCTGGAAACGACCCCTGCACGTGCGCACGTGCAGCAGCACCCCAACTCTGGCACGAGGATATGCAGTGCCTAGTGGGTGCCTACCTACATGCCAACTTTCAGCGCAATCGGCCAAGTAGTTACCGAGATATTGAAACAATTACAAAACTGACACCTCTTCGTTTTGCGCGTGGCACGTGCATAAGGGGTCACCCACATGCATCGGGAATAGTCCAATACTTGGTAGAAGGAATGAAGCTACCCTATAAAAATTACCGCATGTAAATCGGTCAAGTGGTTGCTGAGATATAAGCCTTGCAAAAGCGTCCGCACGGCCGGCCGGCCGGCCGGCCGGCCGCTCATACTCAGAATTTTCCGTTAATCAAGGAAAGACTACGCTCGCTTCGCTCGCTCCGTAACCACGCTAAGCAGAGCTTGTGCAAGCCCGACCGTTAGGTACTGCCCGAGCGGACAATGTTATTCTCCAGGTACCGGGAGATTTGGATGTCTGGATTTAGTATACCCATCAAAGTCAGACGCGATATGTCCCACTCAACTGACTTCGACTGGTTACGGCTGCTCCCACCAACCACAGACCATCCCTGACAGGAGTCTCATATATCGAATGCTGGAACAACTCGAACCCAGCCTCCTGCCATCGGGATTTCAATGCTCTACTGGCTGAGGTTGTCCACATTATTTCTGACTGATTCCAATGCACCAATCAAATGTTAATTACAAATGAACTCAATCAAAGTTATTTCTAAATACGAAAAACAGATAAGGACCCAGTTCCTAAGAACTATTTTTAGGTACTTGTTTGTTAGCACTTAATGACCAAAGTTGAACCCGAATAACTGGACATAAGACACAGTTTTGCTTTTGGTTTCTATTTGGCTTGCAAGCCTAGCTACATGCATGTTTCTAGGGGTTAATTGATTTATTGTTCTTTGACCAATGTTTCAGCTCACCGTGCTTTTCTTTCCCCTCCAGGGAATGATGTTTCTGCACGACTCGCCGCTGCGTTTCCATGGCAACCTGAAAACAACGAACTGCCTGGTCGACAGCCGCTGGGTAGTCAAGGTTGCTGATTTCGGACTGGCAGAAATAATTAACAGAAGTGACCAGCACCTCGAAACGGAAAAAGACGTGCGGCAAAAGTGCGAAGGTCAGTGCCGCGCGGTCACACAAAACCAGCGCGCTCGTCTCGTAACCTAATTTTCAGAATGGCTCGAACGCCACAGAAAAGAAGCTGTTTCTCACCAGCTCACTATGGGTCCGATGCACGATTTAGCACGCCAAAAATGATTTAGGTGACTTTCTCAAAATTGCTTGAAATGTGACGCAAACAACGTAAAAATGTCCATATTTTGCGAACACAGCAGTAACTTTTGCCAAAAATGTCACATGTGCCCAATATTTCATCGCAAACTGACACATATCATGGAGCGCCATTGCCTTGTCCACGTCCGAGAGAAAAGGGACGCTGGAATTATCCGAGTATAGGCGCTTCTAAAAAATAGTTAAACGGAAATATTTGGTCAAAACTAATAATTTGAAGCTTGGGCAATGTGATGAATGCAAAATAAGTCAACTGTGTCATTGCTTTTTTATTGTTACAGCTAATTTAAATATCCATGTCACACATGTGTGCGCAATGCTTCAAGAGACTTACAAATACAGAGCAATACTAAATGCCCCCCAATGCCCCCCGGTATTTTTGGTATTAACTTGCTCCCCAATACTTGCCTAACCAGAAACAAGGTCATTTAGCTGCGTCCACCTGCGACGAAGCAAGTTATGAAGCTTTTTTCCGATGATGTCACTGCGCTTAGCTGCGGCTGTGACATACCGGCGAACGCTGCGGCAGGGTCACAAAGGCAAAAAGACCAGGGTATTGGTGGATACGACTAATATTTTATAGACATATATGACAGGAACTCATAACTGATGGTTTTGTAAAATAAAAACTGGCAGTTCTTTCGGGTTAGTGGTCCGAATTCCGGACGTTCCAGCACTAGTCTGGCGACCTGGCCCTCAGGCGGTTTGGCCGCGTGCCCGGCGCAGTCTGGCGACCTGGCCCTCAGGCGGTTTGACCGCGTGCCCGGCCCACTGCCCTGGCCGGGGTAGTTTGAGCTTGACGATTGTAGCAAGCGCACGTATATTCTTGTCGTTCCATCACTAGCAAAACAGGCAGATAAGCAATGTGTATTGCTTACAAAGCCATTCTTGACATCGTCTTGACCAGTCCAGATGGTGTAGGGCCGGCTCAAGTAGAGGATTTTTCAGCTAGCATCGCTCGTATTTTGAATGTTCAATTGACGACTCATGACATTCGAGCTCTGGGAAAGCTGCTTAACAAGTTAAAGGAAAAATGGGTGGCCGCTCATCGCAATAAAGATCGCTTTATGTCCAGAAACCAACATTGGACTCAGCTGACATTTTGTCTGTCAGAGCCTGTCTGCAGTCCGTCATCGGCAGATGGCAGAGGCCGCCGTCCGTTACCCTTTCCGGAGATGTCGCACCGCAGTAAGCTGAGGGCGACCGAGGACTTGCGTCGTGAAACCAGCTCAGGGACACTGGTGTTTGCCGCTGCCTCAAACCTGCAGAAAGATGGTCGCCGGTTATCAGGCCGGCTCGTCCAGGCGGTTGCATCTCCGAATCGCGGTCCACTATTAGCAAAGAAACTGGAGAAGCCTGATGCCTCTGTCACTCAATACACGCCCGAGGAGGCTCTAGCGCTCCTTGTGGACACCAGCCTCAGCAAGGAACAGTACCTTCACCTAAGGATGGAGGCTAAGGCGCGAGGGGCCGACATCTATCCCAATTACCATCGAGTCCGCACAGCAAAGGCTACCTGCATGCCGCCTGATGACAGCATTGAAGTCACTCCGACATTCGCTCAGGTCAGGCTCCAATCCCTGCTGGACCACACCACCGAAAGACTGCTAGAGGCACAGAAGGAGGTGACGGAAGGCCTCAAGCACAGTGATGGTCGAGATTTGAAACTCGTCTGTCACTTTAAGTGGGGTGTCGACGGAAGTTCCGGCCACAGCCAGTGGCAGCAATCCGGCGGCTATGAGGATGACCAGGTCGTAGTCACGTCCCTGGTACCCCTACAGCTGGCGACAGAAAATGGGGTGACTGTCTGGCACAACGGGACCCCGAACTCGCCTCGATTTTGTCGCCCCGTTACAGTCAGATTCGCCAAGGAGACGCCGTCGCTGGTGCAGCAAGAGAAGCAGACGATGGATGAGCAGATTGCTGAGCTCAATCCATTGAAAAGCGATGGGGTGACGTGCCAATACATGCTGCAGATGTCAATGATTGATGGGAAGGTGGTGAACGCCATCACCGGCACCACTTCTGCACAGAGATGCAGCATGTGCGGCGCGACGCCAAGGAACGTCAACAAGCTGGACGAGGTGCGCCGCCTGCCGGTCACTAACCTGGAGTATGGACTCAGCAGCCTGCACTGTTGGATCCGCATCTTTGAAGCGGTACTTCACATCAGCTACCGGCTGCCGATCGAACAGTGGCAGGTCCGCACGGACGAGCATCGGAAGCAGCTGAAAGAGAGGAAGACGTACGTCCAGAAGCGCATGCTCACCTCACTCGGTCTCCGCGTGGACGAGCCGAGGCCAGGCGGGAGTGGCAACAGCAATGACGGAAATACTGCGCGGAGAGCGTTCCAGAGCCCCGACAAGTTCGCTGCCGCCACTGGAGTCAACGAGCAACTCATCCATCGTCTTCATGTGGTGCTGCAGGCCGTCAGCAGCTGCCTTCCGCTCTCACCCGAGTCACTGGAAGCCTACTGCAACGAGACTGCAGAGCTCTACGTCGAGCACTACGGCTGGTACCCGATGCCAACCACCCTGCATCGTCTCCTGGTACATGCAGCTGCAGTCGTCCAGCAGTGCCTCCTGCCAATCGGCACGATGAGTGAGGAGGCAGCGGAGGCTCGGCACAAGCAGGCCCATGTCGTCCCCTATCTCTCTGCGTGTCCACTAACACGAATGACGTCACGCATGTGGGCGGAGCTATGGGCGGAGCCTAACGCACGCGGCAGTCCAAGCCGCCATATTTGAATTTATATTTTAATAGAATCTTGCCGATATTTTGGGTGAAGTCAATTTATATGGATAGCTTGGTGACAGTTTAGCTATACGAATAATAATTTATTATGGATGTGCGTATATTCAGCTTGGTATTGCATTAAAGTTCCGCACCGCATAGATTCGAACTCGGGACCTCTGGAATACTGCGCGGGCACGCTAACCACTACACTACCGCGACCGCGCGGCGGCCGGCGCCAGGGAGGCTGCGGAGACATGGGGGGACATTTTACGCTTTTGTGAAAAAAGCAAAAGATTTAGCGAAAAACACGTAATAGATAACTTGCAGAAAATTGTCTGCTCTTTCAGATAAGATACTTAGGTTTGATATATCTTGTGCAGACTTCATTCTACAGTGCTTCGAAAATCGCTCATTTACATGGGGATTGAACGGGGCTTCGAGACTTGACTCCAAATGACGTCACGAGCTGACGTCACGAAAAGGTAGAATCGCCGGACGACCCTACCTGGTATATAGGGCCTTGGGCACAAGCACGTGCGGCTCTATCGCCTGCAGAGGGCACGTCGAGACAGCCGCCTGCACACCATGGCCGACATCTTCGGGCGGCTCATGATCACGAGTGACCCTGTGATCAGTACCAAGAGCGCCTCATCCCGTCGCCAAGCCAGGGCCAGCAGCCGGATGCCGCTGTTGAAAGAGGCGCGCGCTCTGTTGGCTGAGCCGACACTGCCGCAGAACGACAGCCGGACATCCGACGACAGCAGCGACGACGACAGCAGCGGCTGTGACTCGGAGGCGCCCTAGGTGGGACGCGTCAGGTCCATCGTCAAGGAAACTTGACAGCGAGTGTATCATGTGATATGATGTGACGTACGTACACAGACTGTACTTTGTGTTCTTTCATTACATGTAGGAACTGTGATGCCTAAGGATGTGCTACCGTTTGGTAATAAACGACGGCAAATGTTCAATGATCTGTTTTGTGGGAAAATCATTATAACCAGAAGAGAACAATAATGCACCCTGGAGAAAAGGCAATAAGCACCCTGAATACGGTTTACATAAAAACGTCCAGCACTACTCTATAGGTACACACGTCACACATCACATGTCACACGGTACCTATATGTTTAGAAATCGCGCAAAATCCATTTAGAATGTTCTGTCTTTCATCTCTGGTGTAAAAGCAGCCATTAAAGGGCAGTTATTATTTTTGGCGTGCTAATTCCTGCATCGGACCCATAGTGCAGCTGCGTGGCATCGTTCGTTTAACCCGCGCCCTGCTGGGGGGGGGGGGTGTTTGAACACCCCCCTTGTTGTTTTTGGTACACCTTATCATATATCAATTCTACACATGTTGTGAAAATTTCAGACGAAGGTCATTCAAGGTCAGGTCACCAGGTCACTTGAAGTGACCTCACCTCATAAAAAGTTTCAATGTCTGCCATAGCTACACCGAGTGACCGATCGCTTTGAAACTTTCAGCGATTGCTAAGAGCAATAGCTTGTACAAAATTTATATCTCAGAATTTTGATATCGATGACCAGGTCAATTTTGCGACCTCCCCATTCAATGGGAGAAAATTGAAATGCGCCTCTTTTGGACGAAAGACATTATAAACACTCCCAAACACCGAATTACAAGTGGTTTAGACACATTGAACATGAAAATGGTGTCCGTGACCCTTGTTTATGCCCTGAGGTCATCTTAGGTCACGAATAGTATCTAACAGTTTTTCGCAAATAACTTTTGATAGAGGCATGCTAGAGCGATGAAAACGCCTTAGATGTGTTCAGCTCGACGATACGGATCGACTGATATGCAACATGAGCCTTTCCGGTCAGGTCATGACCTTGCCCTGAGGTCAAATTTTCAAGTTGACCTTTCAAGGTCAAGTTATAGTTCATTCGATGCGTCTTGACGAGAGGAACACGATGCCGGTAACAGTAAGCTCGTACAATGCTTGGGTCAAAAGTTATTGCAGAAAAACTATTTCCAAAAAAACGGCTATTTTTGCAGTTTTTGCCCCCTGCAGGCAAAACCGTTGACGTTTGGTCAAATCTGAGAGAATTATTCAGAAAGAACGTTAATATGGCTATCGAATGCGCTTTTCCGCGGCGCTGTAGCTCTATTGGTTCCCGAGTTATGCGTTGGCTTCTTGGAAATTTTCGACATTCGACCTGGAAATCGGCGAAATTTTGCCTTCAATGACCTCTGGTGACCTGACCTTTGAACTGACCAAAAAATTGACCGAAGTGATTTCGTCATTATTTTTGACGCTCTTTCGAACGCCGCCTTCCGCGTATCGCTACGTGGCCCAGGAGCCGAGTTACAAGGGGGGGGGGTGTTCAAACACCCCTCCCCCAGCAGGGCGTGGAAATCCAGGACCCCCAGCCGGGCGCGGGTTAATCACCTATGTAGGACCGTAGGTACAAAAACATTTTTTTGCGAGAACAGCGAACATTTGAAATTTAACCCGCGCCCTGGTGGGGTCTGTTTATAACGCGACCTGGTGGGGGGGGGGGGGGGCTATTTTTTGCCCCCCTCGTATCTCCGAAACTACTGGACGGATCCGCAAAATTCAAACGGCGTTCGATAGCCCTGTCAAATTTGTCGAGGGAAACCAAATTTTTTTGACCTCGGGGTCACCGATGACGTCACAGGTCAGGTCAAAGATAAAATGTTTCACCGTTCACGGGGCTTCTAGGGTAAGCGCTATAACACCGAGTAAAACGCATTTTGTCGAAAATCAGCGATAAGACGTCAGTTGTCTAGTACATATGTTGCTATTAGAGGTCACTGGTCATACCAGGTCAGGTCACAGGTCAGGTCACCAAAGGTCACCAAGGGTCACCATGAACCCAACTTTACTAAGGTTGTGCGATGCATGTTTTATGGCCAGTTTTTCATTTCTAACCCAATGGTGTTGGTTATAAGACCATCAGGTACGGTTTAGGTCACTTTCTGGTGGAGGTCAGGTCAAGGTCAGGTCAAAAAAGGTCAAATTTCAAAGTTGATATTTTTGCATAAAATGGGTATCGATTCGATGCAGCTCGTCACGGGGAGTCTAATGGTGGTCTTTGTTTTGCACTACGAGGTCTAGAATTGCTATAAATTGAGTTTGAAAATTTGACGTCATCAATTTTGAACAGTTTTTTCGCTATAACTTCGCCAAAAAAAGAGGTATCAATCTAAAATTTGGTATGTGTATGGGAGGTGGTAAGGACTATCACATATATTCCGGTTTTTGCGAAATTCAAAAACCTTTTTGGATTTTTTGACTACTATATCCCGAAAATCTATTTTTTGATTTTTGGGGGTCAAAATAAAAAAAAAATCAAAAATCCGAGATAGCAGTTTTGTAGCCCTGTCAATTCTACAGCTTTTATGTCCTAAACATTTTTCTGTATTTGCAAAGCTATAGGCGTGACAGCTCTTCCCGCGAAACCCTTTTTTGGGTCGAAAACGGCAGAACATGACGTCACTCTGACGTCATTTCCGGCCAACCTATCATAGCTTTTGGAAAATTTTTTGGTCACAATGTGTACAATTGATGTCCGGGAGGGTGCTGAAAGTTTGGTGACGATCGGCGCAGCGGTTCTGGAGATATATCGAAAAGTCTGGAGGGGGGGGCAAAAAATAGCCCCCCCCACCAGGGCGCGGGTTAGAGGTTTGGATTCAGAAAGAAATGATCGCGTCAATGGTTGCCAGCTAATACCAACCGTAGATATCAACAGCTCTGAAGAGAGTTGATGAAAAGGTACTCTAACTCCAGGGGCATAACAAGGATCAATCCCGTTTATAAGACGAGCTCTCTTTTTTACCAACCCTCGTTTTGTCGCGTACCGGCGGCAGATTCTATCCCTCTTCCCTGTATCCTGACTTACCCTTCTACTCTGTACCTGTTCCTATGCCCACTCTAATGCCTACTGACCACCTGATATACCCCCGTCTTACCACCCTGCTCTACCTCATGCTCTACCCCCACTCCACTCTTTTTAACCCCCTTATACCCCTTATCTACCCATCTCTACCACTTCTCTACCGCTACTCTACCCCTTCTCTACCCCATGTTCTACCCTAATCTACCCCCTGTTTTACCCCGCCCCACAGACCTGCTGTTCAAGGCACCTGAGCAGCTGCGCTGTAGCGGCGCCGAGGCCGGATCGCAGAAGGCCGACGTGTACAGCTTCGCTATGGTGCTGTATGAAATCCACAGTAGGAGTCCGCCGTTCAGCGGTATGGGTCTCGGCCCCCTGGAGCTGCTGCAGTCGGTCATCAAACGCAGCAGCAACAACAACCCCGTCTTCAGGTGGGAAGGGTGTGGAGTGGGACGTGTGTTGTTATGTCGGCATACGGACAGGAAAAAATGAAAATGAGTCGCAGTATTATCATCAACTCCGCTAAATAGCAGCACATACACCATGATGTAATTTTTTATTAATGCAGTTTGTTTCAGGGAAGCAAGATTTTGTATTACTGTCCTTCAAAATAAAGCTATCTTGCTTATCGACAGCATTGAAATCGGGCACAACTTTAGGTCTTCACTAAACTCCTTTGCTCTAATGCGTGCTTTCAACACCATTGATAGAAGAAAAAATTATTCGAGAAGTAGCTGGAAATGTTATCAACATCATTTCCTGTTTAGATTCATTAGAGCTAGTTGACAACGGTATCATAATGCCTCCATAATCTTCCAGTGCAATACAATATATGAGTCATCACTGAATTTAGTGTGGTTTTTGAGGTGCTCATCTCTGTTCCCATCCACAGGCCGCCTATTCACATGTTGGACACCTGTTTCGACTGCGTAAGGGTGGTACTGGCCGAATGTTGGGCCGAGGACCCCGATAGCAGGCCAGACTTCAAAGCCGTCAGAAACAAACTCCGGCCCATGAGGAAGGGAATGTAAGTAGCGGAGAAACGAGCGTTCCCTCAGCACATGTACTCGTAGGTATTTTACCAGCATAACCAGCTCACAACAAAACACGTTTACACATAAAGATGTAGAGATCCTTGCATTCATACAATTAATAACTTGCGCCGTTTGCGATCGATTTCGGAGTGTTCTATTTTCTGAAATATGCGATAATGAACCCTACAACGGATTGGCCCAGTGTGCTTATCAGCTTTATTGAGCAGTCGAGGTTTGAAGTCCACATGCGATAAATTATATGAACCCTGAACGTGGCTCATAAACTGGTCTAAGTTTATGGGTTTGGGAAGTTATCAGTCGGATAGTCAAACAGACGCAAGCTGTGGGGGAGTACCATAAAATACCATAAAATAGCTCCCATGCCGGCGGCATACTACATAGTTAACACATCCTGGGAGAAGTTTTAATTCGTTTTAAGTCATCATGTAACATTTTTATTAGTTGATAATATACAGGGTGTCCGGAAATTGATTGCACACTGTCCATATTCACGTATCTTGCACGTGCTCCCGCCAAACTGGTTAGAGAGGTTCGCGACCCCGCCCCCGGGCACCCCAGCGTGTCAGGTGATCACGTGACCCAGCAGGCGACCTGACCCCAGCGGCAGTGAGTGGCCACAGGTCGCTTTCCGAGAGGCAGTCTTCGCGCGCGGGCCCCATATCGGGAATGGTGAGGGAGCACACTTTGGCGACGCGCTACCGCGCGGTTGGAATGGTTGAAGCCGGGATGACGGTAGGCGATGTTGCCCGACAAGTGGATGTATCTCGCCGGACCCTTCATTACTGACTGGTTCTCGACCGCAGCGGTGCAGCACTGGAGAATCACGAGGGCCGTGGGAGAAAAACTGTGCTGAGCAGGGTGGCCAAAATCGTGCTCGCTAAGGCCGTGCTGAAAAGACGCCAATCGACGCGGAAGGCTGGCCAAAAAGCTGACTGAGAAGGGTCAAGCGGTGTCGAAGACCACTGTTCACAACTACATGGCCAAGTGCCTGGGTCTCAAAGCGCTCAATCTGCGCCGGCAGCCAAAACTGGCCGAAGCCCAGAAGCGGAAGCGTCTGGTATTTGCCCGGGAGCAGAAGAACTGGACCATTCAGGACTGGCGGCGCGTCTTGTTCAGCAATGAGTCTGTGTTCGAGCTCATGCACCCGCTGAATCGCCAGAACGAGCGCGTCTGGGCGCACAACAGTGCTGAAGTGCCTGCCATCGACACGGTGAAGCAGCCGCTGAAACTCATGGTCTGAGCCATGATGAGTCATTGGGGCCTGTCAGAGCTCCACATCTTCCCCCGCGGTCAGGCCGTGACGGCCCAGTACTACGTGAAGGAGTTCTGAAGAAGTCTGCAGCGTCCGCGATAAGCGGAAGAGGCAGACGGGGGCGCCAACACTGGTCGAGCTGCTCCCGAAGATGTCCGAGGCGATCTTCCAGCAAGACAGTGCTTCAGCTCATCACGACGCCAGCACTCAACGGTGGTGCTGGGACAACCTCCCAGGGTTTTGGGACAAGGGTGTATGGCTGGGCAACAGCTCTGACCCGTCTCCCATCGAGAACTTGCGGCTATCGTGCAGAGCGAGCTCGACATGATGGAGCCGGCTATCACCAAGCAAGCGCTTATCAGGAACCTCCAGCGAGCGTGGCTCAGCATTAGTGCAGAGACACTGTACATATAACCTGATGTGTGGCATGCACGACCGTATGAGGGAGTGTGTGCGATTGGGTGGAGGGTATATCGGTAAATAAACCATGACCCATGCATGTCTTGTTTCCTTGTAAAGTGGACTAGAAGAGTGCGCAATCAATTTCCGGACACCCTGTACTAGGTGCAGCTACCATGCGAGTCGGGTAAGCAAGATCTCGATATATCCTATAGAAACGTGTCTTTCGATGCTAAAAGTTAACATTTCGCGAAAACCGAAGGCGTGGCTCTATGTCTAATGCTGTTTTACTTATGCGCAACTCTATTTGTTTTGATCCCCTATCCTTCTGAAAGTGAACGATAAATATTGTGCCGACAATAGTTAAGATTTAAAGTTAAAAAAGGTTTAATGAATGATGCTGGGTGCTAGCTAAAGCATGACTTAATGAGAATAAAATCGCGCTCAGCGTCTTTCATGCTCGCAGTCGCCGTAAGTACGCCATTTGATCACTCACCGGCGCCAATTTCCAGGAAACCGCACATCTTCGACAACATGCTGACGATGATGGAAAAGTACACCAACAACCTGGAGGTGCTGGTGGACGAGCGCACCAATCTGCTCATCGTCGAGAAAAAGAAAACGGGTGAGTCGTCTCCACGTGGGAGGCATTCATTTATTTGTCTCCGAGATCGTGTGCTCGTGAACATTAGTCAGTAGACTGGAAATAAGGTAGTAATAAAAGTGGAGTCGTTGAAATATTCTTTTTTGGGGCTCACCACGCCCAGTTAGGTGAGTACCGGTAGCTACTGCACGAGTTTGAGATCGACTGTCCAGCTGCGTCGCCCATTTGAGTAGGGCTGGCTATGCGGTGCAGTCTAACTTCAGGCGCTGACTCACCCCGCCATCTAGCGACAGAAGCATAAGTAGATGTCGTTAGGGGGCAGCTCAGCAAATAGCAACGCTGAGGTTTTGCTTAGTTTTCACAATGCACAATGCAATGTCTTGCACACGGAGTTGCCACTCCTTACATTTATTATGGGTCGTGGGAAATGGCCTTTTTTGTCATGTTAATGAGCACTGAAGTAAAACCGATATCTCCTCACTTTTCAATCTACCTCAGCGCCATTTCATTACCTCCCAGAACTAACAGTTCCCCTTTCCTCCACCAGAGGCGCTGCTGCACGAGATGCTGCCGCGCTACGTGGCCGACCAGCTGAAGCGAGGAAAGAGTGTTCAGGCGGAGAGCTTCGACAGCGTCACCATCTACTTCAGCGACATCGTCGGCTTCACGGCCATGTCGGCAGAGAGTACCCCGCTTCAGGTTAGTGGTGTCAGACGTTGCTAGGGAGCCAAGCCATCGGTGAAAGAGTGGTCCTAAATTATAAATCGTCGATTTATAATTTATAATGATACGATTTATAATTGCAGATGCCCTCAGGCTGAAATATAACCCATTTTCAGTGGGTGATCCTAACTTTTTTGGGTATTAAACTTCGTGCTTTGAGCAGTGGGAAGAATAAGTCCCGACCTTCCCTGATCCTCAGGTGATAGGTAGTGGTGAAATTCTGTAATTTCCATAGCTCCAGTGAAACAATAAAGCCAGCCTGACCACACCATTCTCCATTGACTCCGTTCCTTCTCCGCAGGTGGTTGATTTTCTGAACGATCTCTACACGTGTTTCGACTCCATCATCGATAACTATGACGTCTACAAAGTGGAAACCATCGGAGACGCCTACATGGTGGTGAGTCATCTTCGCCATCATCGCCATCGTTCTAACTTCAATCGATATAAACAAAACCATATCCTTATAGGTCGTGGCTGCCCAACGTGCACAACTGATGTACAGCTAAGCACTACACCATTGACTACACCCTTTTCAGTCTTCATAACCTGGCAATCAGATCAGCGGGCAACCGCTCAATGATGTAGTATCATGTCCCCCTGAATACGTCACATTAGCTGCGAGGCAAATGGTCTGCCTGCATGCATCTGCCTCTACGTCATACTCAGTTTATTAAGCAATGCATCTTTACGAGTACGAGCCCTCTAACGTCATATCATGTCGCCTAACCAGGTCACTTCCCTGATAGTCAGGTACCCTCCATGACGTCACACGCGCCCCTCCATGACGTCATATTCTACCCCTAACTCCATCACTCCCCACCCCCACCCCAGGTGAGCGGCCTGCCGGTGCGGAACGGCCTCCAGCACGCCGGCGAGGTCGCCTCCATGTCCCTCCATCTCCTGGAGGCCATCCGGAGCTTCACCATCCGACATCGGCCGCAGGACACGCTGATGTTGAGGATCGGAATCCACACCGGTTAGTTCTGGTTGACGACTGGCAGGAGAGTTATAGATATCCGGGTTGAAGAGGCGTTCCAATCTACTATTGCTTTATGACACTTGTCAGATTCCATACAACGTAGCTTATACGTTTATTGCATTACTGATACATTTGTAAAACAATACACGTTACGTTTCTATTAGTTACGTGATATGTGCTGCTATTGGGGTATGAGCTCAAGTGTGCTGTGCTGACGTACTGCTGAGGTATTTTCTCGCATAGGGTCAGACATTGTCGTAATGCAAACACTGGTGGTGTGCTGTGCTGACTGTGCTGTGTGCTGAGTTCTAATTCTACATACTATGCTGTATACCCACAGGTCCAGTATGTGCCGGAGTAGTGGGTAGGAAGATGCCCCGCTACTGTCTGTATGGAGATACAGTCAACACCGCCTCCAGGATGGAATCCACCGGCAGTCGTAAGTAAAGTCACAACACACCGATACATAGTGCGTTCATTGCACAATGTATCACATCATAGATAATTTCTGTTGAAGACTGAAGTGAACATTTTGGTTATGCCCAATACATGAATGCATATTGACTGAGTAGCTCATTTTGCGTGACTGAGACCTCACTGTGTGCGTGACAGGGCGATTCTTTAAGTGTTTATCTATCTTTTTTTTTTACTGTGTGAGTGTTTTATTTTGTGTGACGTTTCACATTAGATGACTGAGTTATTCGTTTTTTTGTCACCAATTGCCTTGTGTGACTGAGTTGTGTGACTGTACTCTCACCTGTGTCACCAGCTCTGCGGATCCACTGTAGCGCCTCCTGTCGAGGTGTTCTGATGCGACTCGGAGGGTACAATCTGGAGGAGCGGGGACCCACCTACCTGAAAGGTACGTAAGGGCTGACGGACGGTACGGGGTCACGTCCAGCGGATGGCCGATGTTTTTTACTGGTAACAAGCGAAGACACTAGCTCGCTTGCCAATTGAGATCATGCATATCAGTGGATTTGGCGAGGTTCCGGCGTGGTCGATGGCTTATTAGGCTGTTCAGACGTTGAAATTGCTGAAAACGTTATTGTTTATTCTGACATATTATAGTGCATGTATGGCCTAAACTTTTGAATTCATTTTAAAAGGGGGAAAAACGCAAGAAATTACCCAACGTTTCGCATTTATTGCTTAGTCATGGGCCTTCGCGTGTGATTGTTCAAAAGTTCAAAAGTTTAGGCCATACATGCACTATAATATGTCACACCTGTCTATTGATAATCCTCAACATTGTTTATTCTACTCTTGAGACGGTGGTTGGAGAAGCAGAGGCAGATGTAGCCAGATAGATCATACATTGGCGCTAGGGAGAAAACTCAGATAGGACCAGTTTGCCATTCGGCATGGTGTTATCATCTGGTTCATATTTTCAGGCAAGGGAGACGTAGTCACCTACTGGCTGGTCGGTGAGGATGAGAAGAGACAGGCCAGGAGGAGACAAAACATCACCAAAATGAAGCAACAACAGCAGCTACGGTAGGTTCGCCATACGCTATATTCGTGTAACCAAACATTCAGACAGTGCCAGGTTTCTAGGAACTTGTCAGGTCACAGAGATACCAAGACAATGATTGAGGCTATTGAAACCATTGGAATGTTTTGTGTTTTGAAGGGGAGCGCTGTCCTCCTATCTAAGAAATATCTATTCTAAGCTGTATTAGCCAGAACCCCAAGCTTGAGCCGGGATGCTGGGGAACGCAAGGCTAGGCCGGGCAGGACTGCCGGAAATGACCATGCTTACCTGATCGGCGAAGCCGTGGGCGATGTTACCTGACGTGTAGGTTGCGCTTGGAAATAAAATAAACCAGTCTGGAATGGAAGGGTTTTTAGCAGCATTAGAGCACAATTTGTAAAGATTATCTAAGTAGATTTGATCATGATGACTACCCAGGTCCTATTATACATGTTCGTGCAATAAGAGACCGCAAACATTTCGATTTACTATCGTTTAGACATCCGTGTTTTTATGTACCAAGGCTACCATTTGTTGTATTGCCGCGTTTCGTAACGCCATTTTGTGTTCGCAGCGGAGCGCTGCGCTCGCGTTCTCCCGGAATGGAGCGCACATACAGCTTGGAGTCCCCCCGTCGCCTCCGGTTCGCCTCCGACCGCCGCCGGGAGCTGGGACAACTCAAAAAGTCCAACCTGGCCTCCGACTGCCTCTGCGACGCCCAGCGCCGCTCCTGTCCCTGCATCCACGAGCTGGACGACGAATCAGCGTCGCCGGCGGGTGACCTTGACATGGGGCGGAGCGCTGATTGGCTAACAGTGACGGTCACTGACCACGCCACGCGCTCTGATTCGGCGCTGCATAGCGTGCACCCCAGGCCGAGGTTTGAGCTCGATACGGGTGGATCGGATATAACTGAGAGTGAGCCACTGCTGGCGAGCGCCCCGGGCAATAGCGAGACGAGGATCTGAGATGGTGGAGACGCGGGTTCGATCCCCGACAGGGTACAAGTTTTCTCGGGGCCAGAACGCAAGTTGAGGATGTGTTAGATGTCTGGAATATGGAAGGTTTGAAATGTTAGGAACTGAGTATTTGGAATGACTTTCTAGAAGGACAGAAACTACGATAACGTCTTCTGTCTTCGAGAAAAGGAAATACGTGGCTGTATTACCCCACATATCGTCTCATTGTCGAAACCAATGAGAGTTGTGGGATTCGAATTAAATCTCACTTGTGTGTGTTTCTGAGTGAAACGCGAAAAATCAGTATGAGATGTGATGTGTAGTTTGCCCATCAGTCATTTACAACAGGGCAGAAAAACGCAGCCGTTTTATTTACTTAACACTGTAAATACATATGCGTACGATGTTAGACACTGTTTGTAAGCCGTACGCGATGTATGCGGTCATTTAAACCCATTGTCAGGGTTCAACCGATGTTTGTGAGATGTTTGCGGCCTCGATAAGCCGCATGTGATGTTTGCCTGAACGTGTCACTGTCATTGACAATCCTTGTTTGTCTTGAAACGAATATCGAAGTGACGTTGAACCAGCTAAAGTCTCAGAAACCACCCAACCACCGACTGTCCGGATCCGACCGAATTATGAGGCAGGCTATCGCTGTTTTGCTGTCTTTTCTTTCCGACGAGACGGGATTTTCAGCGCGTCCAGATTACTGGAGCTCGCTGAGAATTATGTGAGGAACGTTGTTGAAAATCGGAGTTGTACTGCCCGGACTATTTAAGCCCCGGGCTGGCTACCGGTCACTGGTCAGTGGCCAATGGTCACTGGTCATTGGTCACAGTATATGTACTGTGTTGACGTGAAAATATGTGTTGCGTTGACTGTCGCGATTGTATTGTAGAACATATTTTAACATGTGAAATAAATTGACATTATTTTTGTTGTTGAATAACATCGAGTGAGTCTCTGGGTACTGGATGCATTGTTATTTATTTACGATCAAGTTTCTGCACTATTACAACCCTATTGTGAAAATGACAATTGACTAGCCTAACAATTCTCGATAAGACAAAAATCCAACTCCTCGACGACGAGCGCTTATTTATCTCACCAGCCATAGCCAATACCCAAAATCTGCACAGTGTTTGCCTTTATTGCTTAAAATCGACGTGTACCAACCACAGTTCACTCACTCCTAGCATTCACCACCTATTAGTGCTTAATAACACTTTTTATGCACCTAAAAACGATCAACATGTCACTACTAAAGTACTAACATGCAAAAGCATCAATGCAAGCCGCGTCTCCGTAGTGGTTGCACAAATCGCCGACAAGTTATCGCATTCCAACCGTTCCTCTAGACTCGAACACCACAGTCTCACTTTTATACCTTACGCCCGGCGATTCAAGCTGTATAGTTGAGCTTGGAAAACGTTTCATGTACAAGTTTATTCACAATGCAAAACAAAAAAATCATAGCCGTCCTCTAAAGAAAGCAGAGCTATATCAACATGTTGGAAGCCTGGCATGATGCAGCTAAGGCAAATCCTATAAACACCGTATTTTTTATTGGGTGAGCATTCGAAAAATAATTTTCAAAGTCTCAAGCGAGGGTTCACTGAAAAAAAAAAAACAATTGATTCGGAGACCTATGTCGGCAAACCTAAGAGGCTAAGCACACATTTTGTGTAATGTCATGGCATCCATGTGTCATAATTTCACATCAAGTAAACTACTATGGATAATATCACTAAATCAGTGTTGCCATTTCATTAGCGATCTTGTCTTGAATCCGTCTCTGTAATTACTAGCATTAGGTCACAACTCTCAATGCAAAACCAGAAAGTGACGCAAAACCTTGCAACATGCGACACAGCGTTTAATAAAGAAACGCTTCTCTGTCTTGGATACTCTAGGCTGAATGAAGGACTTGAGGTCCCGCACGAAACACGCACTACTTTCAGACTATTGCAAGATCTCCCTCGATGCAAATATCACTGTCAATATGCGCTTTGGTATAGCAATGACACTGCATGCATTCTACATGTCAGCAGGTCATCGCTGCAATGATTGGCACAATCTTCATCATTTGACCTGACTCTGTGCGTCCTTTTTCATAATCATCATTTCTATCCCTCTTAACTTTACCCGCAACCCAGTAAAACCAACCCAACCACTGCCACCACTTTCACCAAACTCCAGCGGCCGGTGGGATTCGAACCCGCGGTCAGCGGAGGGAAGCAGTCGTCATGCAGTAGACACAGTGTCACCGCTCCGCGGTTTTCCCGGCCGTGATATTGGAGGCGGTCGATGGTGAGGGGGGCTGGTGAGTCTGACTGACTCCGGTCCCGCCACGCGTACAGCACGTGAATCGGCTGGCCCTGAAACAGAGGGAGGGGGAGGGAGGAGGGAGGTTAAGAGGTCGTAAAGTTTAGAAGTCATCGTTCAGCCCAGAGCCATTGTGGAATGGGGGAGTAACAGTGGTCATTTATTTGCTTATTTATTTAGTCGTTTATTCATTCATTTATTTATTTACTTTTTTATTTATTGCCAGCCTCATGAACAAAGCCCACTGCCTGTTGAAGCACTGAGGATATATCGCTTATCTTGGTAAGATTGGACACACCCCAGACAACATGGACGGCCCTCTGGCACCGAAAAACAGACGTGAGATCAAAATGCTGCTATGCTGCTATGGGCGGTTATAAATCACTTTCAAGAAGCCGGAGACTCGGCAGCTAGATGCATGCTAATTTGCTGGCTTTATAATGAATCCTCTATAAATATGGTCTGGATCATTGGGAGCTCAAGAACACTCAAGGGTCACTAGGTCGATTCCTCGATCCCTGCATTTCTATAGCAAAATGCTGCTGACGCAATAGCTGTTTGTCACCTAACGATAGTTCATGCTTGAACTCTTGGGTGATATTCTTGACAATTGGCTGACAAAGAAACATCAAAAATGACCCTTGAATACTAATCATTCGTAAACTGTAATAGTCAACCACTCAGCGATACTTTTATTTATTCATTGTTCTATCAAAGAATAGGATCAGTGAACAGACGAGCTATTTGCATTCATTCCGCGTTCTTGAAAACAATACGATCAGTGAACATTGACGAACAACAAGAGCGGCAAAACTGATGAGACCATGAGACAGAACACGGTCCGGAAAAGACTGAGACAAAGCTTTTCCGTCGTGACCTCACGGAAATGACGTCGGTCCGATTCTGTCGTCTGACATAAAGAACCGTCTCTGGTCGCGACTGAGGGCCCTTGGGCTACTTTATGACTCATAGATGGCCCGGCACTCACTGAAAGAGTCGCGCTAGACACAAAACCATTCCGGGCAGATGAGAGCAGCTGCAGTGAAGACAATAGTGGTGGATGGCGGTGGACATTGGAAATAGACAGTTGACAGTGGAAATTGGACAGTGGACAGTGGAAACAGGACAGTAGACAGTGGACACATGAAAACCGACCTGGGACACCTGACCCTGCAGGCAGTGGACAGTGGACAATAAACAATTCCAATTAAACATTGGACACTAAACAGCATCCGACTCTGGACACTGGACAGGACAATAGACACTGAACAGCTTAGCTGTGGACAGTGACATTGGACAGTAGCGATGCGCGAGGCTTCGGGGGTACCGAGGGAGGTATCGGGTGGTATAGCTGGCGGCGTAAAGAAGTGTGCGACACGGAAGGAAAGATTGATACTGTTCTTGATCATACGCTTTCGCTCTTTTCCTCCTCTCTCTCTCTCTCTCTCTCTCTCTCTCTCATCTCTCTCTCTCTCTCTCTCTCTCTCTCTCTCTCTCTCTCTCTCTCTCTCTCTCTCTCTCTCTCTCTCTCTCTCTCTCTCTTACCTTACCTCTCTTTTTCCCCTCCCTCTCCATCCCTCTCCTGCCTTTCCCGCCCCTCCGAACGGTTAAGATTTCAGCGAGGATCTGAATGACCCGAGACTACGGATCGTTTGCATATCTCCCCAGCTGAAGATGGCAAGCGCCAGACTCTCCGCCCGAAATTCCACGCGCCAGCGCAGTTTTGTGCGCCACCACCGCCTTCTGCGGTATATTGAACGCTTCCAAAGGACGCTGTTTGGCAGCTGGGACGAAAGGAAGCGAAGAGAAATTGGCAGCTGAAGAGCCAGGGACAGATACTCCCAAATCGAGGCAGACGCTCACGTGACTAAGAGTAGAGCTCAAAAGGCTTAGGCACACGTTCGGTTTCCTTATGTTACTTTCAATCATCCATTGCGTTGCTTTATTTGAATAATTGTATATTTGAATTTTCATTAATACAAGCGACTTCCTTGTCCGTCGTGTCGGCCAAAAGACGGGATCGTGGACCATGCTGTGTACCC